TTCCTGTGATCCACAGCATATGAAAGGGCTGATAGATGAAATAACAGAACAAATCACTCATCTGGAGACTCAAATTCAGGTCAGCATGTAATCCTATTGGTTTCAGTTCTTTACCTTCATTCTTGAAGCCACTTTGAAGTGCAGATGTTTCACGTCGTATTTATTGTTGAAGCTTTGGTGTTTCATTTGCAACCTATCTCGTTTTTGCCTTCTGCCTCAGCTTAGGAAAGAACAACTTGATTCCGAGTTGCAGATGATGGCTGAGAACGACGATGAACAGGACAAGGCTGGTCTGGAGGAGAGGAAGTTGAAGCTGAGGGAGGACCTGGTGGCCCTGTTTACGCTGAGCACAGAGCTGGAGAGTGTGCGGGTCCGAGTGAATGAACACAACTGGCTCGCAGGTACGACTGCGACGTTACAAATCTGATTTATGTGAAAAATAAACACATTCCTGCTACAATGCTGGCCTTTTGTGATGCGAGGAAGGAAGAATAAGCCTTTTTTAGATGGAAAAATCTTGAAAAAAAGAACTACAATAGCGTAGTTACTCACTCTTAAGCTAATGCTTTATTTTAGAACCTTAATATAATTATGAAATTATCTTTAGTTTATCAGCAAGACTTGACTGACTTCCCTTCTTTACTTGAAGAAGTTCTCCTAATCTCTCAGAATGTGATGACTGTCCTGATATTTGGATGGATTTGGTTACAAAGTTTAACTTTGCTCAGATAAACTCATCATTTTGTTAATTAGGGTGAAAACTGCAAAAACCTAAAATATTACCAAGTAAATTTGGTCTAGTTTCAAGTGCAAATATCTTAGTGTACTTCAACTAAGACAAAATTAACTTACAAGTAACTTTGTTACAGAAACTTGTATAATGAATTTAAATAAATTCATTATAAGTAAAAAAAAAAGGATTAAATAATCCACTTTTTAGATCAGTTTTGACTATTTTGAGCTCCTTTCAGCTGTTTTGTCAATGTAAATGCAAATAATCTGCTGCTGGCTACGCCCTCCCCAACTCGACGTCTACACTCCCACGTGAAAATGGCTGCAAACAGCCGCAATTACACAACCATACATCCTGGAGAAGCAGAAGAAGGGGCTCCTGCACAACCAACAAGAATGCAGCAAGTGGTTTCTGAATGGTAAATAAACAACAAAACAGTTATACAGCGGTAAAACCAATGTGGTGGAGCTCCACTTGGGCTGTTAGGTAACGGGACTCAACATTCAGGAGGTTTTCTAAATGGCTCATTTATCAGGCACCAAAAAAAGATGAACTTGTCGCCAAAAAACTGCTGGGTGTTTTTTGTTGTTTTCTGTTTTTCAACCACTTGAACTGTTTTCAAAAGAAGTTAAGACCCAAATGAAAAAACTAGTCCGCTTTAAGCCTTTGCTCAATACCTCAGTACTCGCACCATCAGTTAATCTTTAATATCCTCATTTCTCTTCATATGATGCAGGAATGACGTCGTCTGCTCCAACTTCGTCTTCTGAGTCCGATGGCGAAGACGCTCAAGGCTCCCAAACAGCAGCCAGACCAGAGACGAAGAAGGGCGAAAAGCTGGAGGAAGAGCTCCACGGTCAGAAGGATCTGTTGGACGACATCCAGAAGAGACTGGGAGGGGTGAAAAAGGACGAAGCGGATGGGAACCAAGTTTTGGAGAACCTAGATGGGATCCAGGAGCAGCTTTCCAAACAGGCGGAGAACTGGGAGAAGGTGAAGCCACATGGGCCAAAGTGGAAAGGGAAGAAAGAGAAAAAACAGGAGAGGGACCACAGGAAGAAAGAGGAGAAGAAGGACAAGGAGTGGAAGCACAGCAAGGAAGAGAAGAAGGAAAAGGAGAACTCTCACAAAGAGTCCTGGAGGAAACACCAGGACGAGTGGCAGAGGAGGAAGAGCGAGCGCAGAATGGACCGGGAGGAGAGGAGGAAGGAGAAGCCGTGGCACAGCCGGCCGGGAAAAACTCCCATCAGGCCCGGCAGCCGCATCACCATCAGCACCACCACAACGACTTCTGGAGGGACCAGGAGCTCAAGCTGCACCGCAATGTCCGCCCCCAGCTGGGCTGCTCCTCGCTGGAGGACTGCGCGTCCAAGGAGGGTCTGTACCCGGTGGAGCTGACCGAGTTCGAGGAGCTGCTGGAGGGCTACCTGAGCAAGCTGGAGGGCTCCTCCAACGAGAGCAAGGACAAGCTCCGCAAGGTCACCGGCGACTTCTTCGAGGACGGCGTCTTCATCCACGACCGCGTGCGCTTCGGGGACTTCGCCGAGGACGTGGCGGACGTCCTGGAAGACATGGTGGACGTCATGCAGGGCAGCGACTCCCTGGAGGAGGAGATGGAGGAGTTTGAGCGGGAGGCGCTGTGGAAGTTTGCCGCCACAGCTTAGAAGCCAAGAAGGATTCAAAAGCATTAAAACCCAAGAACAGTTCTCGTGGTGGTTTTGTAGGACATTTCCCTTCCTTCTCCTCCTCTTCTGAGCTGTAGTTGTCGTAGCTTTTGGTACGGACTCCTAATTGTGTCCCTGAAAGTCTCTAATTATAAGCTAGACTGTGTTTGTCATTTTGGGCTTAGTTGTTACCTACCTCTGTCCCGGTCATGGCTCCTGATTCAGAGTAACCGTAAACTGTGTCACGCTTTTTTTTTTCTTTTCTTTAATCAGTGCATGTTGCAGTGAAGTGTATTTAAACCCAGATTAGACAGGAAGCGACATGAAGTCGATCAGTATTACCCAGTAAATCATTCTTCCAGTTGGTTCTCCGGCTTGAAGAGGAGATCCTGCTGCGTTCGCCGATCATTATCAGATCAGGTCCGACCGGTTTCTTTGTCAGCATTTTTTTTTTTTTTTCACCAAGCAAACAGAGAGAGATCTGTTATGAGCCTCCAGCATTTTTTGTTGATGCGTTGACTCTATCTGCTCCAGGAGAAAAAAGCAATAGCAAAGAGTTGAGACTTCTTTACCACTTTAGCACTTTTCCTCAAGTTTGTCAGACACATTTCCTCCACTGCTTTCTGCAGCACATAACGCTCAGACCAGTCTGGGTTATTCAACATGGAGAACTTCCTTCAGCTCATTTGCTGATGCAGCAGAATTTGTTCTGCACCCAAACCTGTAACTTTCCTCCTCTTGTTTTGGTCAGAAGTTTGGGTTGACTTGCATGCAGGTGATTTAGACGTTGTTTCCAGAGTTTAGTTTATAAAAGACATGAAAGCATTTAATTTACACACATCGGGTGAAAGTGGAAAAACAGCACAAAGACGAGCCTGAAAAGTTCATAGTATGTTCCTTTTACTTTCACCGGTTCCTCTTTGTGTCGATGTGAAGTTAAAACCGTCGGGTCGGGATTGTTCAGAGAAGCTCTGGCGTGATTATTTATTCTGTCACTACTTCTGTCATTTGTATGAATCCGAGGAGCGACGGACTCTGACCCGGGCCGTTCACGCTGAATGTTGAAGCGACCTTCGTTTACGTTGCGTACCAGCTGCTGCTTACGTGCCTTTTCCACAATATGAATAACTCAGATTGGACCAGAGGTCTCTGATTTCACTCGATTTCTGCTAGAAAAGGAAGAAGTTTCGGCGACTTTTAATCCGTCCTGCTGTTTGCAGGGCAGAGTCGATGTTGTGGAGTTTACTTGTGCGCCATTGTGCTGATTTATTTCTGAAGATCTGCCTGACCAAAGGTGTTTGAAGGAGTCCTCAAAGCACAGATCGAAGCGAGAATTTAATCTATTTCAAAGTGTTTCTGTGTCCGCGGGGCGACAATAGGGCTTAACGGATGTGAATTCATTTGACCCCCTGGGCAAATATAATTTCTTTCATCATCAGTTGTCTCCTGTTTTGATTAAATAAATGTTGAGTTCAATAAATTTCTTTTTGTTTTCTGAAGTTTTATGGGCTTATTTCGGTCCATTTGACAAAGTTTAATTCCAGGCTAGCGTGATTATTTGTTCTGTGTAAATATCAAAATTTTTTAAAGACATTTTTGTTGTCCTCTCAGTCCATTGGTAACTCCTTGTTTCTTCCTGAACATCCTAACAAGTTTTCTATCGGTAGAGGTTGACGGTTTGGTCTTTGACGAAGCTTTAAGACATCCTAAAAATGTTTCTTAAAAAAAAAAAAAATTGTAATCCGAAAATCTTTTCCCATAACCTGGAAGACTTCCTGAGACATTCCTATTGTTCTGAGGATTGTCCGATCCGATGAGTATGATCAGGGGTCTTCAAGCGCCACTGTCCTGCAGCTTTTGGATGCGTCCCTGCTTCAACACACCTGCATCAAATTACTGGTCAATTACTCAGCTTTTGCAGAACTTACTGACCCACCAAAGAGGTCATTCTGTCTTTTCATTCAGGTGTGCTAGAGCAGAGATGCAGGACAGTGGCAGTCCAAAAACTGGAGTACTTAAAATCTTTTTCTGTTCCAAACTGGAAAGAAACTGCTGCATGATTGGAGTTTATAAACTTCTGCAATGATTTATACAGCAACTGACTACAATTCCCAGCAATAAGGAGTCTGGAGCCGCCCAGCCCAGTGTGACACACGCCGCCTCCGACTCGCTATGTGCTGAAAACGGGAGCTGACGGCATCACTGGCATCTACCATCTCAGCTGTGATGCCCAGCTGAAGCGTTTCCACGCAGACTCGAGTCTGTGCCTCGACAAAAGGCTCGATCTCCACGTTGGCTTCCATTGATATCATCCAGCTGAAATGCTGATGAACGAGAACAAGTCGCTCATTACGAAAGCGCAGACAGAGCCTGCCATTCTTTGAATAACACAACCAGGCAATTAGAGGCGCTTCGGCACGAATTCACCGCTCCCTCCATGGAATGACGTTTGCTTTGGTTTTAAGAAGTTTAAATCCCAATAACTTAACACATGAAGAAAAGGAAAAAAATCACGTAAAGAAGCATCATTTCTGTCTTTGTTTTTTGAAGACAACAGAGGGTGTGTTGGACCTCGATACCATTATTTGAGTCATGTTTTGTATAAACTAATTATTGCTTATAATGCACGATTCAGTCAGTTGATTGGACTCGCCTGATGCTATCTCTGCAGACAAACTCAAGCGGCGTTTTGTCCAGTCGTCAGGATCCGCCGTGACCTCTTGTAGGTCACCGTTCCTTTTTTTTTTCTTTTTTTCTTTCTTTTTTGTTTGATGTCATGGAAATCCGACAGAGATGAGGGCAGGAGGGGAGTGACGATGAGGGGTTTTCCGCTGATGTGTGCAGCGGCGATGAAGATGAGGCGCATATATTTAGAGATGAGATGGACAGCGACGAAGAGGAGAGGACCTTTCGCACCTTCTGCCACTTCTCAGCCTGAACTCGTCACGGTAACACATCAGCTGCTTATTCCGGTTTATATAAAAATGCATTCTTAGCTTTTACTGGTTTATTCACAGCATAAGTCACCATGGAAGCTGCCATCACCACCATCGTCTCCCAGTTTAAGGCGTACGCTGGGAATGAGGGATCCTCCTCCACGCTGAGTAAAGACGAGTTTCACAAACTGGTGACCTCTCAGCTTCCCAACGTCGTCAAGGTTTGTCTCTTCAGTTGCTTTTATTGTCTCTCTCTCTCTCTGCTGATATTTGTTTATCATCCACCATTGAAGGCTCTGAATACAGCTCTGCAAAGAAATGAAGAGTCCACTTAAATGATCAGTTTCTCTGACTTTAGTTTTTATAGGTTAATGTTTGAGTAAAATGAATATTGTTCTTTTTTTTCTATGAACTACTGAAATTCAAAGCAAACATTCAGTTTTTATTAGCAGAAAATGAAAAATTATCAAAATAATGGAAAAAAAAGCAAAGAAAACAAGTTATTAGTTTAGAAACAACAATACTAGTGTTTTAATTCAGTCCAGAAATCGATATTTGGTGGAATAACCAGGAGGTTTTTAATGGGATTCAGATCAGTGGGCTCTTTGTTTTTTTTTCCCAAGTTGTATTTTACAAAAACAAATATTTGTGCAATCTTCTACTTTTGCAGTTTTGAGCAATTCCCTACATATCAGCTGCAAAAGTACAAAAATATTGATGCAAACATACACATTTTCACAAAAAGCTTTAAATATTGTACTACACATGAGCTTCTATTGTCTTATTTATAATCTCTTCATTAGTTTCATTTTATTTACAAGGTTAAAAGAAGCCTTGTTTCACAAACTATTTTATAGAAAGTGGCCAAAATCACTTCACTAAATATGTTGAACAATGTATTCATGAGAAAATTATTGAAAGTAATTACAGTCTCCTCGTTGTAAAACAGGACTTATTTTTTATTACAACATTATATTGTCTTGCTCAATTAACTTTTAAGTGTTGCAGTCGTTTCAGGTTGAACTTCCTTTTCCTGTTCTTGCTGACATGAGGTTCCCATTAGAACCACATGTCACTGATTGTGATGCAGGTTTTGTGCTAATTATGCATTTGAATGGATCTTTTTGCTGAGGATGATGCATCAAATAACTGGAGTGAATTTCAAAAACAAGAATCAGGTGAACAGGGCAAGACTCTGGGTCAAAGTTGAACAAACAGGCTAGAGGATAAACATACGCTGCTAATATTTGAATAAATGTCCCTTAATTCGACCACATGCCATCAAAAAGCTCCTGGTTTCTCTTTCCAGAATCAGCTCTGATATGTTTGGGATCTTTGAGTTTTAACATCTAGTTGTTGATGAGAGGTGAAGTTATGTCGTTATTATTATTATTATTATTATTATTATTATTATTATTATTATTATTATTACAGCCCCTCAGCATGATGCTCCCCCCTTGTAACAGTGTCCTTGGATTTTTACTCCTTGTTTGGGCCAACAAGCAAGAATCTTTGTCTCATTTAAATCCTAAACCTTTATTCAGTCTATGTACCGAGTCAAACGTTTCGGACTTTGGAGTAGAAGATTCTTTCTCGGGCTCAACGTTGGTGTCAAAATGACTGTGGCTGTCCAGCATACGGCCGGTGCTCTGTCCAAACCGATTCAGTTTATTCTGAGGGTCGTAGTTTAGGTTTAATCCAGAGATCTAAAACATAAATCAGAACTGGCTTTGGAATTAATAAATCAACATTGAGCTTCCATATTTAAAAGCCGTCAGAAATCCTGACAGAAATTTGTTCATGACTTTTTAAGATTACAAAAAGTGTCTTGGTGATGCAAGTTACATCATGGCAAATGCCATCATTGATTATCAATACACATAAAATATATTGATCAATGTTCCAGCTGTTATAAATCAAAGGCAACTCTAATCAGGTGTCTTTTTATTCTGGATTTAAAGGAACTCGGTTTTTCAGCTGTTTTGCAGTTTTCTGTAAATTTGTTCCAGAAATGTGGTGGACAGAAGCTGAAAGCTGCTTCGTCATGTTTGGTTCTGGTTCTGGGGATGTAGAGCAGAAGACCTGAGTGATATAACGGCACCAAATGTTTTGGCTCTAATTTTGCTGTAAACTAACAGAATTATTTTAAAGTCTGTTCTCTGAGCCAGGCTTTACAACTAGGAAGACGTTTTCTATCTTTAAAAACCTCTGTGTGCGATCGCCATAAAGTAAAAGACCAACAACTTATTGACACCCATTAAAGTGTAACTGAGTATCGTAAAGTAATTCAGTTTCTCGGTTCCTGCTTCATATTGATCTGCGTCTCATCTGTGATCGCCCGCAGAACGCCAGTGACCCCGCCTCCATCGACCAGCTCATGAGCTCCATTGACGAAAACAACGACGGGGAGCTGACCTTCTCCGAGTTCTGGCAGCTGATTGGAAAACTGGCGAGCAAACAGGGAGGCTTCAGCTAGTCGACCCGACCCAGTCGGCTCGGTTGATTCCTGCTGCAGACGGAGAGAGAGGGCATCTGATGTCTTTTATCTCTCTGTGCCAGAGCCAAATGTGTAGCTGCATAGTTAACCATTTGTTTGATGGGAGGAACTTTGAATTAAAGCTTTTGTTGTTTTTAACTCTGAACCACCAACTTGGACTCGGCTGTCATTTATTCACCGCTTTATACGACTTCCAGCAAACCCAGATTGGAGCTGCAGTGATTTAAGAGCTTGTAATCTTAAAAAGTCTGCAGCCGTCCTGCATAAAGCTATCTGTTGCATAGCTTTATGATCCACACTGCAAAAACACAGCAAGAATTTATGTCTAGTTTCTAGCGCAAATATCTTCGTGCACTTAAAATAAGATGAAGCAACTTACAAGTAAATTTTCATAAAGACACAGGAGCTAGTTTGAAGTTATTCCTCAACTTCGATGAAAAAGTGCCAGTTTCACTGGCAGATCATTTCATTTGTAACGAGACGTTTTCCAGTGTTATAAGTGAAATTATTTGCCGATATTAAAGTATTATTGACTTAAAACAATCTCCCGTCGTCCTGAAAAGTTACTTGTTAGTTTTTGTCTCAATTCAGCTGTACTAAGATATTTGCTCTAGAAATACTTGGTAATATAATTTTGTGTTTTTGCAGTGAGGACAGCAACGAGCGACACAAACGCATCCTCTTGTGTTTTCCTTTATCGGGTCATTTCAGCATTAACGCTAATGTCTAGACAGAGTTATGTGTGCAGGAAGGCTCCCCTGCCGTTTAATCGCCTGTGGGCCTGTTTTAATTTGCTACTGGCCTGACTGTGAGACTGCGCCTTTTCTCAGCGCGATAGGTAAATGTGACCTTTGTATCCAAATTACCCCCCTCCACCCCCTCATCGTGTAACAATGTGGGCGTGGGAGGGACGGATGGATGGTCAGATGAGTCACTGCAACGGTTGAAATGGGAACGTCTGTCTGTCTGTCTGCAGGCACGCTGCAAAAACACCATCTTAACAAGTACTTGTGGTCTAGTTTCTAATGTGAATCTTTTACGTACGCGTGAAATAAGACAAAACTAACTTGCAAGAAATTTAAGTAAATAATTCCTTAATACTGAGTAAAAAGTAAAATAAGACATTTTCCCCATATTAGCTAAAACGTCTTGTTGCACTGGCTGATTATTTCTCTTATAACTAGCACCTTTTAAGGAATTATTTACTTAAAACGAGCTCCCATAGAGTGCTGAAAAGTTACTTGTAAGTTAGTTTAGTCATACTTAAAGCGTATTGAGTGATTTTCACTAGAAACTGGACCCAATAACTCGGTAAGATTTTGTGTTTTTTGCAGTGCGGCTGCTTCTTCAGATAAGCATCTGTCTCATTTAAATCCTTAAGCCACGCCTCTCTAACTGAGATAAAATCTGCAGATGTAAATCTTTTACATGGCTGTAAAAGAACAAATCCACATGAAACATATTCCAGTTTGTTCCATCCGCTTGTCTTCAAAATCTAAGCTGACTAAAAGTTGGCCACTGTATTTTCACAGCACCTGATTGAAATACAGTGATTCTTTTAAAGTGTTCGTGACCCTTGAACTTTTCCACAAGTTTTAGCTCCATCTTTCCATCAACACTGACAACTTTCTTGTTCCTGCTGAAAAAAATAACTTCCTGCTGGTACAGCTCCATTTACCCACTGTGGGACAATAAATATTTAATTTAATACATGTATGCTGTTATTTAAGGCCAGAAAACAATAGAAGCTGGACTGCAAAAACAGTATTGCTTGTTCCAACATGAATAACTTCCTATTTTGTAAATTCTTTGCAAATATATATTAAAAACCTATTTTGTTACCTTTATATGTGATAATATAGCCAGAAATATTATTAAGCAAATTTGGCGTATTGTTTTATAACCTAACCCTGCATAAAACTACCTGAAATATTTCTTGTTTTTCAAAAAACATTGTTCACTAATGTTACTTAAATATCTGAAAGAATAGCTGGATTTATATTCAGATTTATATTCAGAACAGGTGGAATCTCTTAATTAGATGGCCTACATAAAGGTATCTGGGTGTGCTGAATTTTATTTAGGGGCATCAGAGTTAAAAGGCTTGGCGGCTTAAAGCAGATTTTTATTTCTAAGTTGTATTTTTAAAGCTGTGTATCATTCTCCTTTGGTCTCTCACAAAATCCTGATAAATCATATTAATGTTTGTTGGTCTGATGTGACAAAATGTATTTTATTTCTTAAACCAACAAATATGACAGAAAAAACTCACTCAGATCAAAATGTGCATTTCAGTTCTGCTTTAATGCAGTTCACCATTTTACACGTTTTGAAATGCATTCTCATAACTCAAAATAAAGTTTAAAGGGTTGTGGCTTAATAATTTGTGTTTTTTTTTAAGTTGATTCAAAAAGCGAAATGACGTCACCCCATCCACCCTGCCTCTGAGGAAATCACGCATGACGCCCAAACAGCTGGCCAATCAGCCCAACAACAACCAGAAACGTCTAAATAACGAAATAATGAGAAAAACCAACTTTGAGTGTATTTCCCTGCCTGTATTTCCAGCTCCCTTCCTGCTCTCCAGGGTCGCTGTCTTCCACTCCTCTGCCCTCCTTCCCACTCTCCAGGTACACGCCCTTTGACTTGTAAAAGGGGGGGGGAGACTTTTCAGGACAGGGGGGGAAAAAAACGAGCCCAAATCACGGAAGAGATTCTGCAGTCCTACTAGTTTGGCAAGTCCGCAGGGCTCAAAGCAGCGCAGATAAAAAAAGGCGGAGGAGAGCTGCGAAAGTCACTTTTGGCGCACATTTCGCACAGTTATCTTCTCCCGCAGACCGCAAACGGTGAGTTTGGTTGTTTTTCTTTTGGTTTATTCAAAGTGTTCCCTGCGTGGGAGCGGCGGGGTTTTTTTTTCTTTACTTTTTTCCTTTTTTTCCCCCTCTCTCTCCTGTTGCCACGTTTCGTTAAACTCCCGCAAGAGGCTGGATGGATCCCTGCTGCTGTGTAACTGCAGGAGCCGCTCACTGGCCGCTGATTTGCGGCTCAAGTTGCGCTTTAATAGAAAGAAATTAAAAAATCCAACTTTTTGATCTACATTTGCAGCTTAAAAAAATAATTATTTCTCATTGAGCTTACAACCATATCAGATTCACTTAAAGATATTTTAATATGGATCTGATCTGAGTGATCAGCTGCAGAATCCAGGTGATCTGAACCCAACACACCCCACGGGTGTTACAACTTTTACCTTATTGACCAGGAAGCCGAGAGCAACAACTTGCGTCAAGTTTTTTCTCTGTTATTTATTTGATTGTTTTTAAACCAATCGATCTGGTCAATCATGAGTCCTTTACGCACAGCCGCGGGTCCGGACGCGTGGATTTGACTTGGGTGGGAGGCAGGGACTGTTTATAGCCGCAGCCCGACCTGTTCCTCTGTTAATATTTCATGCCACACCAGCGGTAGTGTTGTCATTACTCTGCGCACGGACCGTATCACGTTCATCCGTTTGTTTTTTCTTCTTCTTTTTGAAACCCAATCTCTCCCCCTCCGGGTCTCTGCGGCGAAACGCGAAACTCCCGGTTGTAGGACTTTGCGTTGAATTATTTGCGCTGTTGTGTTTTTGCTTTGCGTTTTGTTTTGTTTTCTTTGTTGTTTTTCTTGAAGGAGTAGGTAAATGACATTGAATGAATTGAGTTTTTCTGAGTGTGAGGAATATGTTTGTCTATACTTGTTCATGGAAAGGAGCCAGCAGTGTGTGTGTGTGTGTGTGTGTGTGCGTGTGTGTGTGTGTGTGTGTGTGTGTGTGTGTGTGTGTGTGTGTGTGTGTGTGTGTGTGTGGCCCCTGTGTACTCAGGGCTGGAAGGGCGTGTCCGGCACAGGAAGAAGTCCCCTAAAGTCCCAGCTGAGCTCAGGATCACTTTAAGTGTTGGAATTACTTTGGTTACTCTTGAGCCCTTGGTCATTTTATTCTGTGTCCAATTTGCAAAGTGTGAAAACCTTCTTGGATGCTGTAGAAGCTTGTAACTGGAAAAGACAATATTTCACGAAATATTCACAATATTTAGTGACATATTTGACATATTTCACTGAGCATGTTCTCCCTCTGTCAGCCCCCATGCTAAAACTCAGGTAGAGGTTAGTAAGTTTCATGAGCCCCTGGACAGCAGGAGGCAGCTTGATGATTGAAAAGACTTGCACAAGAGTTAATCATAACCAATATTTTAATACTTTGCAGATATTACAGCATCAAAGTGTGTTAGTACAGTGCAGCCCTGCCTCAAAGACTAAAGCTTACAATACCAAAACACAAAATGGTTGTTTCTAACTTATGTTTATGTGTATCTATTTCTGGGGGGGAGGAGGAGGGTTTTGGTAAATAATATTATAAACCTTCTTAAAGCAACAGTATGTAATTTTTAGAATAAATTTATTGATGTTTTTTACATATTTGTTGAAACTGTCTGCTATGAGACAGATAAAAAAGAAATCCAGTTTCTCTGCGTTCTCCCAGTGCTAAATAGAAACAACCAGCCAAAGTCAGAAGGAGTTTTAGGGCTGTCAATCACCTCTCCCTGTAGCGCTGCTCACTCCACCCTCTCCTCTCGCTTTAGCTAGCATAGCTTGTCATGAATGCTAAATCTATTTAGCATGGCCACGAATGACGGCAGATAAACACTTTTCCTGTGAGGATAAGATGTTTCCCCACCGTTAGCACATTTAGCAGCGAGTTCTTGAGTTTGATTGACAGCGCTAAGGCCCTCCCTCTGGCTCTGACTGGTTGTTTTCCTTCAGTCGGCAATACCAGCTAGGTGATCTTTTCACAGATTATCTGTCTCATAACAAACTGTCACAACATGGTGGCAGTTTAACAAATATGTTAAAACTTTTTTACTTGTTATAAAAGTTACACACTGGACTTTTAAACATTTCTTTTTGCAGTCAGAATTTATTTCTCTGTATTTCATGCACAGACCTGACACTGTTGTTGTTGTTGTTGGTTAGTTGGGAACACTGTGATTTTGGCAATTATAAAGAAATGATCAAATTCACATCAGTCAACTTTTGAAAACATGAACTTAAACCATTTGGTTGCTTAAAAAAGAAGTTCAATAAAGAATCAGAATGTTTATTCTTTTTTTAAAAAAAAAAAAATCTGTTTGAAATTTAAAGATACACATATAACAAAAACAGAAACCCTGACTGTGTTACTACTTTTGGTTTCAGAACCAACAATTATGATCCAAGTAGTTTGATGTGATTGTGATATTTCACAGATCCATATTGACGGGTCAAATCTGCTACATGACGTCACTGCAGCTGCAAAGAAACTACCAATAAATTACAAACTTCCATTGAAATCGATTCATCCCTTCCAGCTCGACTGCGTCAATATTGAAGCACTTCACTCCGACTCCACTGCCAGACCAAACGAGTAAACTTGACCTGGCAATTTATTAAATTAGATTAATTAAAAAATTAAAGAGGCAAGCCCTGGTGTTGGCTCACTAGTGAAGCGTGTAATTGATGGGTCACACAGGAGACTCTAAATGGTGGCTGCTGGTTAATGAGCTGGTGTTAAACATTTTTTTAAAAAACGTAAAAGAGAGAAGTGAAATGTTAGATTGAACAGCTCATGGGTCCTTGTCATTCTATCGGCGTAGCGACACTAACTGGTAATATTTAATGTGCGCTTTGGAAACTGCTTGTCTTTCAGCCTGACATGCACACCAGGAACGTAGATGTCAACATGCTGTCTATGCGCGGCGCAAGCTCTGCTGCATCCTTGTTAAAACAAAGAGTCAACAGTCTGTTTATTTGCTCTGCAGCATTTGAATACCGAAACTGACTGCCGAGCGCGTTTGCCTTCAATGAACATGGTCTCTGTGGTTCGGGGCAAAGCGAGCTCGGAGGCACAGCCTGTAAATTCCTGTCTAAGTGATCTCCGCAGAGAGCAATGAGAGGAATTCCCGCAAACGTGTCGCCCTGACTGGCTAGTTTCAGTCTGTGCAACACGTGAAGATTATCTGTGCATCGGAGGAAAGCTTGGAGAACGACGAGGTTCGGGCAGGAAGACAGAGAGGGAGAGAGGCAGAAGGGCAGACAAGGACTAGGTAATCCCTCTGGTAATCCAAGCTTACCTGCCAGTTTAGAAAGATCAGATGACCTATCAAAGATCAGAGCCGCCATTGTCCATCACAGCTCGTCTCTCAGTCAGACTCCCTCTCACCTTTTCCACTTATCTCACGTCACTGTTCGTCCCTAACCGCAGCTCAGGAGTCTGACAACTGAAACAAAAAACTTTGCAGGGATCCTTGGTTTCAGTTTTCTCAGAACATGCACCGTCTGAAAAAATATGACTTAAAACTCAATATTTATCAAGATAAGTGGTTCCCAAACGATTTCAGGAAAGTGTCTTCTTGGTCTTCAAGGTATTTTTGCAGATGTTTTAAAACAGAAAGTTGCACAGCAAGTTTTTTTTTGTCACAAAATAAAAGAGAAAAAAAATCTTATCCATTTGCACGGCACTGTTTGTGTTCAAATTATGACTTGAAGTTATAACATTGGAAAATGTAAAAAATAATTAAAAGGCCTGAAATCAAAATTCTACGTTTTCTTTTTGTTTGCTTGTTTGGTTTTCTTAACTGCATCCATAATTTACAAAATGACTGCCTTGCATATAAACAGTTTATTTGCACTACTGATGATTGTCTCATTAAATGTTTCACACACAGCTCAGTTGAAAATGCAGAGAAAAATAAGCTCTTATTGGTATTCATTAGTCTGGTCACTGGTCAATCCTACTGGTTTTCAAACTTTTAACTAAAAGCTGTTTGTTTTGGTCAATCGCACATCCAATTTTACCGTTTGTGTTTTAGCTCCTGTTGGGAGTTTTGAAAGGTTTAAAAAGTTTCAGACCAAACGTAGACAAATGGACTGAAAGATTGATAGATATCAATCTGATCTGCTTCCCTAATGAATGTGTCTTCTTCTATCCCAGACAGGGGAGACATGGAGGGCGCCATCCAGGCCGTGGTGAAAACCTTCCTGAAGTCATCCAAAGGAAAAGAGAGTCTAGGAAAGAAAGAGTTTCAAAACCTCGTCTCATCCCAGCTCGGCAACATCCTTTCGGTCAGAGCAAACTTCTCTGAAGAGTTTGTTATGCAACTGATTCATAAAAAAGTTTTTATGAGACTCACCTGTTCTAAGTTGAAATTTGTGAATATTAGTCAAACCGTTGTGTGAAAGTAGTGGATGAATCTCAGAAAATGTTCCAAAAATAACTAAGGCTACGTTCACACAGGAGGTCTTGAAGCTTGATTCTGATTTTTTTTTTTATTATTATTATTCTTGCGTGGTTGTTCATACTGCTAATTAAACCTGATTGCAATGAGGCTTTTGTGTGAACGGTTTACAGCCCCAAAGTGGCCTGCATGCGCAGACAGACTATTGACGTCGCACAGCAAGGAAGGAGCCGTTTATGGATCGATTTCAAAGTTTGTTCAGCAATGAACCAACATTATCGTCACAAGATCAACAACAAAAGCAGGATAATAAAGAGAAAGTAAAACCAACGGCACAGCCTTTTGTGGAGCACCGACTGCAACTTCAGTAGGAATGTTTGTTCACATGTGAAGTGGTGGGATTGTGATGTGATGCGTCTCAGAGCCTCAAACGTCATTCATACGTTTATAATTCTAATTTTCAGTCGTTTACGTTCAGATTTACCATGTCTGGCTTTTTCTGATGCTGCATGACGCATGTTTCACATCAATGACGTAAAAGCTGGATAAAGTGCGGCATGACCATTCAGACAAATGCTTTAAAAAGAGCCAGATATGTATCCAAATTAGCACCAAACATGAAAATGGCACAAATTGAATTTCTCAGGAGGTGAAAAGATCGGAATTGAGTCATTCAGGCTGCTGTGAAAAATCCAGATAAAGGTTGAAAAAGCAGCACAAAAGTGAGTTTGGGTTGCATTTACCTACTATGTGAAGGTAGCCTATGTTATGACTGATAAGTGTCAATCAAGAGCATTGGCTTATTTTGCTCACTATTACTGTTGACTGACTTATGGTTGTGTATGTCCAACTTGTAGGGTGCAGACAACAAAGAAGCAATCAACAATATGAGCCAGGGACTAGACTCTGACTCTGACGGCAAGGTTGGCTTTGAGGAATACATGAAGCTGATAGGCTACCTGGCCTGCTCGCTCAGTGAGCAGCGTGTCCTCAGCAAAGAGGAACCTGCAGAAAACAATGCATCCCAACCAGCGGTGCAAAGCTCCCCTGATGGCACAGCAGAACAACCAAAAGAGAACGCAGGGCCAAAAGAGGAACCAAAACCAAAAGAAAACGACGAAACAAAGGCAGATCCGACTGCTGAGGCAAAGGTAGCGGATGCAAACGCAGAGGTAAAGGTAGAAGCAAAGGCGGAGGGGGAAACCAAGCCAGAGGCAACTACGGTGGAAGCAGCAGCAGCAGGGTCGGCAGAGGCGGAGGTAAAACCTACAGAGAAAGAGCCAGAAAAAGCTGAGGAAACACCAAAAGCAGAGGAGCCAACAGAGAAGTCGCCTGCTGCTGCAGAGGAGGAGGAGGAGGTCGAAGCGGAGAAGACAGAAGAGGCGTCTTCATAGGGGACAATCCACTCCTTCACCAAAATCACACTACAGAAATCAACCCTGCAGAGAAACATAACATTAATTCCAAAATAATTTGGAAAGCCACCATTTTGATATATATTAAAATACAACAGTTTAAACACAACAGAAACACTATTCTATATATATGATTATGTACATGACAGTAGCTTTGTACTACTTTAACCACTATGTTTATATGTACAGGATGTGCATCCCACTATATAGCACATCTACCTCATTATGATGGTGTACTATGACAGCATGCAGTTGTTCACTTTAATGTGCATGCAGTATCTATGTGAAAGCTTCCCTGGAAACTATGATTTTCCTGCACACTTGACTGAAATATCTTAACTCACCACTACAATCATAAGGCCTTCCATCCACCCATGCATTCTCTATCTGGAAATTTTTCACTTTCTGTCACTTTTCCACTAACAGTAGAGCGAAACAGTTCTTTTGTAATACTTTGCCAGCAATCACATTGCCAGGCATGTCTAACATAAAGGAATAACGGGACGTTTTGGGAACTTGCTAGCTAAAATGTACATCAAATGAACTTACCAAACGCTTGATTCTGATCAAATTTAACATTAAAAATGATAATAATGATAATAAAATTAACAGGCACCGGTAAATCTTATTGATTACATTGTCATCAATGTTTTTATTCCATACAAACACAATTTTATGTTAGCTTCTGGAGCTAACAGTAAGGAGAGCTGTATTTCCATGCAGGCTTAGCTTCTTCGATACCCTGATAGCATATTATTGTTGTTCATTTTGAAAATATTTCTGTATTTGGTGCACGTAAATACGCTTTTTAAATATTCAGTAGCTTGACACTAAATTGAAAGATACAAAGAAGATTTTAAAGTTGGCTTATACATTTAGCAGAAGTAGAAAGACAGATACAAAATAGCTACTTTCCACTTCTCTCATGGGCTAATGTCACGTTTCATTTTACTTGGAAGGTAAAAATTTTGAGTTTTGATAAAATCAGATGTGTTTTCTGTTCTGGTGCTTTAAATCCCATCGTAAGAGTTGTACACAAATTCCACTTTTTTTTTTTTTTTTTTACTTTGTTGCAGCAAAGTTGGTTATCTCAGTTTTGACTTTAAAGGAAGTAGCACATATAGCTTAGCTTCATTTTCCCCAGAAATTGACTTTTTGTTTTGTTTATGTCCAATTTGTCCCTGTAACATGTCCAAATGTTCCTTTATTGGATGCACTTACATCACTTTTTGTATTTTTCTCTAAGCCGGTGATGTGGCTTAATTTAACAACACAATAAACAAACTCATTCGTTTAAGTTCTGCATACTTATCTTAATTGTTTCCTCATTGCCATATTTCTTTTTCTCACTTTTTCTTTGTCTGTTTCCTTCAGTGTGTTCCCTTAAGTCAGATTCAGACATTAACTGGGAACTGAAGCGTTGGGTGTGACCTTCGGTTAAATAATTAAGTCACTGAGAGGGAATCTACACCGAAAGGACCAATAAGGTCAAAAAGGGAGCCCAGAATAGTCCTGTGGGAGTGGGCTGGGGATCAGCAGGCCAGGTTAGAAAAGGTGCTTGTGCAACTTTATCCCCCCGATATGAGTAGAAAGAAAAACGGCTGCAACAAACCACCAAGGAGCCTAAAAACGAATTTTATTGGAAATAAGATGAGCTGGTTAATAGTGACCTGCTTCTTCAAATACTTGGCAACGCTACAGTCTGACCTTTATTTTCTAAACTGTGATGGTTTGAACTGCAGCTGTTTGTTCTTATGTTTTGTTGATCCCACCCTTGTATCTTTTGAACACCCTGTTCGGCCTGCAACTGGATCCTGAGGGCATTTGTCATTGGGAAATTACTGGATTAGGGTTTTCATGAGTAACACGCCCAAAGACCCAAACAATTTCATGAAAGTAATCCTGGATATGGGGTTGCTCATCATGCCTGCCGGTGGTTGTGCCTCTTGAAATCAAGGAACAACACTGAGTGTATCGTATTACCTTTTGCCTAAAAAGCCATTTCACAACCATTTCCACTGCCATTCAAGTTTTTCTTTCTTCTGTACCTCTAACTTTAAAATGTATTAACTCATCATTTAACCACTGCAGCGATTACGTGCCAAAGTACCAAATTCTGTACCAAATGTTGCATTTCTGCAGCTTGTTGCTCCTCCACGCACTACTAAAACATTACACTGTTCCCTGTCAGAGCAGGCAGCACTTCATTGAAGTGAAAATGAGAAAGATAAATAAGCACAGATCATGTGATCACCTTGCCTCACTGAGGCACTCCCATTGTAAATACTCTCATTTACACTAACGCGGTGCAACTTTTACGCTCACAGTCCACATTGCTTCCTGCTGCCTTTAACAAACTTCCTGGACTTTTTTGGTGATTTTATTATAACATCTTTATTGAAATGAATTCCTTTTTTTAAATGCATGTTGGTACTTTTTGGGACTGATCTGTCTCCTGCACCACCTCCTATGGGCCTGTGACAGTTTGGTTAAGGTACATAAGATGGTTTACCAAATTGCACAACCACTGGACTCCAGCCTAATGTGAGCACACTTAGCCTTAACATCTTCTGGGAGATGATTTATAATCAACATTCTTCATTTGAACCCATCGTCCTTTTAACTATTTATGATGCTGTTTTATTTTTGTGTCCCACAACAAAAGTCCACCCAGCTTTTAAATGATTACTATACTGGAAGTGGAGCGCAGCACAGAGTGTTTGCATTGCCACGTAATAAATCTCTCATTCATTCTCAGATGCAGTCGACGAAGATAAAAGTAATTAATCCCCAAACTGGAGCAGCAAGTGTGTATAAATATACGAATGTGTCTTTCTGGGTTCTGGAGTCAAAATGTTTGGGGTAGTGGGATGTTTCCCAGGATGCCGTGCAGGCCTTACTTATTTTCTAGGAGTGTGTATGTGTGTGTGTGTGTTTTCGGCAGAAGGACTTGCATCAGTCCACTGTCATGCCCAGTGAGCTTTACTGTTCTCTTATTTCATATGTAACGCTGTATCGGTTTTTGTTTTTTTGCTTATAATCTCCATACTGGCTAGAATAGAATAAAACTGAATAAAACTGTGACCGTAACATGTTTTCAATGTGTGGCGTGTTCATTCACACTTTAACTACAGACACTAACGTCAATATTTAGTGAGATTTTATTTAACTGACCAACACAATGTGATGCTTACCCAAGTTAAAGCTAAACATAAAAGTTCCCTGGTTTTCAAATTCTTAACAAATATGAAACAAGTGGTGTGAATTTACATTCAGCTCTTTTTATTCTGATATCCTTTTCTGAAATGCAGCGCAACCAACTGCATTCTGAAGTCATCGAATTAGTGAATAGACTGCCTGCATGTTATTTAATCTCATTATGAATCCAGCTGCTTTCCGAAGGCCTCAGCGGTTTGTTTGAGAATATTAGTGAAAAAACAGGAACATGAAGACCAAAAATCACACTAACAAGTCAGACACGACTTGTTGGTTGGCTTATAAAACAAGAAACGCAGCCAAAATGAAAGACTTGCAAGAAGAAAATGAATAATAGATTCAGCCAAGAGGGCCGTAGGGCCTCCTGGTGGGAAAAGCTGTCAAAGCAAGAGCTATAAGTTGACCTTTTATTCCAGAAATGCCCCTAAAAGTTTGTTGAATAAAAAAACAAAATATTTATGTATTTCCCTATTTGCCGTGTAGCAAAGTAACACTGCAAATCAATCTGAATATTTAATTCCCAGGAAAAAACATGGATTCAAATTCAGAAATACTTCACGGATCACAAATGGAAAATAAATGTTGTAACTCATAGTAATAAAAAAATAATCTTCAAAATTGTTGTAGATTGTGACAGTTGAGGGCAGGAATGTTCTTCTTTTATCAAATAATAAAAAATTTTGTTGAGTCTTCATTACCCAATTGATGTACAAATTATCACAATGCAACACATTGACCTTTTGAAAATTAACCAAAGTATGAAAAACTAGAAATGCAAATGCAACTAATAAAAAGGAACTAAAACGAAACAATATTTAACTAGTAATGCCTAATAAAAAATAGCTAAAAACTCATCAGAACTAACTTAATTAGACAAGCAAAAAGTCACAATAAAATGTGACTTTTTGAGATTAAACCAAAAAAAAATCCCAAACTATTATAACCCTGCAGTGTCCGAATGACCCGTCCAGTTGAGATTTTCTCCTCCCAATTCTGGCTGAGTTTGAGAAAACAGGGATGAATAAAAAACGTATGCAATATTTTGCAGAATTTTATATGTAAAATATTTTTGAAAGACCTTTGTTTCTTGTCTTTCCACTCCACTATCATGCCACACTTTGTGTTGTTTTATAGCAGAAGATCCCAATAGATAACATAAATGCTTGCTCGAGGGATACTCTGCCATGTTTTTTACCTGAGGGGAACGGGAGAAGGGAGGAAGGACACCTTCAGGTCTAAAGGGGGTGATAAAGTTTAGGGGAGCGGGAGGAGGGAGAAGAGGAGCAGGTGATATTTAAGCCACTGGCAGACTCTCTCCCCATCCATCTCTGCCTTGGCTCTGTACCCTGCTGCTCTTTGAAGACAAAGGAGGCCCTCCATCAGCACTCAGGTAAGACCGACACAGAGACATGCTGCTTTTCTTGACTTTCTCCTTTGCCGCTGATAAAAGAGTTTCTTGCAAACTATTCAGTGCAGCTGAAGTAGATAACCGGACAGGTCCAGACGGGGTTTGTTGGAGAACAGACAAGAGGACAATGACAGCAAACTGATAGATAAGACAGCTTATACCTCAATATCTCCTCCAAAACATTTCCTCGGCAAATTACCAACCTGGTCGCATCCCTCAGCTTGAACTACTTCATCATTAAGTGTATGTCCATTATCCGAAGGTCCGGTGTTGTGTTGCAGATACGATCTGCATCTATTGTATCGTGTCAGCCAGTGAGACGACTGACCATATAGATTTTCCAGATAGCCAGCCTTGTGTTGAACCCTCAGCAGCTTAATCAGGCCTGATTGTCAGTAACTGACAGCAGTTTAATGCAAGAAATAACTATAAGAAAGCCCTCATTTCTAAAAATATAACAGTTTGAATATTTTGAAAAGAAAAATCTACTAATTTTCTCTTTTTCTTTTAGCCTTTTGTAATCATGTATTTATTTTAAAAATTATATTTTATACATTATATGTTTGTATATAAGAGAAAGAAATATTTCTGCTTTACTCAAGGTACGAAGAATAAAGTTAAAGCCTGGATACTTCATACTTCACAAAAACTTGGCTAAAGAGCTGTTGTGTGTTTCTCATAGATCCCTTTTAGATACTGCGCAAAAAAAGTTGATATTTCAAGAAAAAATTATCAAAACTCCCAAACCTGTAAAAGAAGTCAGCCATTTTGTTCTTGCAGCCTATAGAGAGAACTACTCTTTATGTACATATGGGCCTTTAAACAGCATTTCTATGGAAGATGTGTAAAACATATTCAACAAAATGAACATTAAAAGTGACTTATTTGTTGATATCAGGCTGAAATTATGATTGCATACAAGTATTATTTGTGCAACTGTTAAGTTGGTGATATGATGTACATATTTCCAACTAACTTGCATTATGTTGTTCAGAGTAGATAAAATTCTGCACAAAAATGTCGAGATCTTGTCTCTTTTGGTGACTATTACGTTACTCTACGTTACAAATGCTTGAGAAACATTCGTATAAATAATGTTTAGATGTTTGAAGTTGCAGGTTTGAAACTATCCACAAATATTTTAAGAGCTTAATTATCTCTTTTGGTAACGTTGTAGCCTATTAACAATATTACAAGACCTAAACACTTAAGAATTCTGCACAATGATGATAAGAGTTTAGTTGCCATGTAGAGCAAATTTAGGCGTATTTTTTAGGTCACCTCAATGACTGCATCTATGGGAATGGCTTGGTAGATTCTGCACGGGCACCTCGGGTTACTCGCCTCCTTAGTTTCTCTATGTAAGTGTTAGGTGTCACATCGGAGACGTGTTTTACAACAGCGTTACATGCATTACCAGAGCAACCTACAAGAGAGATAACCAGACGAATGGCATGCATCAGTTGCTTGGATTCAAACGACCCATCTTTACATTATTGACAGTGACTTGTCTGTGTCTGTGTGTGCACAGTCTCCCCACGAGTCCAGCACAAGACGCTCCAAGATGCCGGACACAATGTGTGTAAGACTGTTCAGCAAAAGTAAAGCTTCTCCTAAGCTTTATTCCAAAATGTGACCACACACTCCTCCTGTCCATCAATCTACCTGTCCCTCCGTCATTTCATCTTTGAGGTTGCTTCACCTCTGATTGCCATGTGTCCACACATGGCAATCAGAGGCTGGAGCGGGCATTTAATACAAGAGTTTAATGATTTCTACTTCACACCTCACCTTCCAGCATGTCCAAGGAGCCCAGTTCCAACCTGGAGAGTGCCATGCAGATGCTCATAAAAACCTTCCACAAATATTCGGGGAAGGAGGGCGATAAGTACACCCTGAGCAGGGGCGAGCTGAAGGAGCTGCTAACGGAGGAGCTGGGGAGTTATCTAGGGGTGAGTGTGGAGTGTCTCACAAGATAAATATGTGGTTGTGAAGAAAAAGATAGAGTGCATTTGCAAACATGTGTGACACAAGTAGAGGTATGCACATTTATACTCTCGTGTGCAAGTTTTGACAAGCCTGTGCAGCTTTGTGATCCTGCACACACATAAAAATAAAATAAAAAGTTAATGTTATTAACTCTGTCTCTAACAGAGCTCCAAAGATAACGAAGCCGTGGAGAAGGTGATGAACGACCTGGACGCCAACAACGACGGCGAGGTGGACTTCACAGAGTTCATCATCCTGATGGGCGCCCTCACAGTGGCCTGCAACGACTTCTTCCTGGATTCAAAACCGGAAGACAAGGGGGCAGAGAAGAAAGATTGAAACTGTGTAAGAGAGGCCGGCGTAAAAACAGGAGGAGGAGGAAGACAACAACGAAGGAAAGGAGAAGGAGGGGGAAAGGACTGTAAAACTAATGGCTTTTTTTTTCACTTTTCGTCTTATGCAATTTCAAACCCATATGAGAGGAGATGTCCGGCGCTCAGTTTATGGGGTTCACAGAACATGAGGAATTCAGTGGGAGTGCTGTTTTTCCTCATGCAAATGTTATTCATACCACAACTAATCCGGATCAAGTTCCTCTCAGCGCAGCGAGAGACTTAATGTACACATCAGGGTTTATTTCATCACGTTTCAGCTCAGACTCATCCGAGTTTTACAGTAGGGGAGGTTATGAGAAGGCACCAGACTGGAAATGTGTGTTTGATCCTTTCTTGCACAATGGAGTATCTGTGAACATATATATGAATACATAAAATTTCAGATCATTATATCATTGTATGTACTCAGCGTTGAAAGATAGGTGATGTTGCACCTATTTTTTAATCTTTTACGGAAATAATCAGTGCTGCAAAATATTAAACATTGCATTTAACCAACATGGATGACGTGGCGTCTCATTTTACCCAAAATGCTGATCCTTTAAATGTATTATTATTTTCTCTGGTTTTAGAAACGGTAAATCAACATCAAAAGTTTATTTTGGATATAGGAATGGTTAGTAGCTTTTATTTTGCGCAATGCAAAATTGATTTGCAACAACTGCACTCTTCAAACCACACATGCATTATTATATCAGGAAAAACTCAGGTTGTAAAATTGAACAGTCTACCTTCATATTCAGTTCGAAATATGGCAAAAAAAAATTACAACTTTCAGTTAATCCCTTTTTATCTATTACATTATTCAATTGATCAATTTTTATTACTTAAAAACTGAAATGACAAAACTTTTTTTTTATTTTAGTGGAGCCAGATTTTATAAAATACTAATATTTAAAGTTGTGGGGGGTTTTTGTTTTGTTTTTTTTCCTACTTCATCCACTTTTATTACAAAAACAAAAATCTCACGTTTGGCCCGCAATGCTTCTTGGGATAAGCTGATCCCCAGAGCATACGCCAGACCTGTTCATCAATCTGGAGGAAAAAAAAAACATTCAAGGCCGCGCTTGGAGGAGTCTTCGTCGT